GGCTCACTGCAAGCTCCGCCTCCCAGGTTCACGCCATTCTCTTGCCTCAGCCTCCCCAGTAGCTGGGACTACAGGCGCCGGCCAGCACGCCCGGCTAATTTTTTTGTATTTTTAGTAGAGACGGGGTTTCACCGTGTTAGCCAGGATGGTCTCGATCTCCTGACCTCATGATCCCCCCGGCTCGGCCTCCCAAAGTGCTGGGATTACAGGCGTGAACCACCGCGCCCGGCCCATTTTTAGGTATTTGAGGAATCACCACACTGTCTTCCACAAGGGTTGAATTAATTTACACTCACACCAATAGTGTATAAGCCTTGTGTTTTTCTCTACAACCTCACCAGCATTTTTTTTTTTTTTCATTTTTTTAGTAATAGCTATTCCAACTGGTGTGAGATAGTATCTCATTGTGGTAAAACCAAACTCTTAATCTCCCCTCCCCACCTCCAAGTACAACCTCCTGCTGTCTTTCCAAATTCAGTAACTACTATGGGATTCTGCAACGCCTTTAACAGTCTCTCTGCCTCTCCACTAGTTTTCCAGCCACATCCCCCTATACCTTCCCTTCACAGCACCTAGCTTCCCCGGTATATGCTCAACATAGCAGCCAGAGTAGCTTAAAATGTAGGTCAGCTCATAAATACTTCTCTGCTCAAACCTTTCGATCTCACTCAGAATAAAAACCAAAGTTACAATTGCCTATAATCCAACTCCTCCAACCTCTCTGAGGTCGTGTTAATACTCTCCTCCTTGCTAGCTCTACTCCAGCTGCAGGAGCCTGTTGTGCCTTCCTTCCACATAGCAGGTACATTCCTACTTCATGGCTTTTTGCATTTGCTGTTTCTTCTGTCTACAATGTTCTTCTTCCAGAAATCCACGATTCTTTCCCTGTCTCCTTTGAGTCTTTGTTTTAACCAAATATTATCTTTTCAGATAGGTCTTCCATGACCAACATATTTTTGTAAAACTGTACCACCCAACCTCCCACTCCAGTACTTCTTTTATATTTTTCCACTGTCCCCCCTACCATCTGATATACTATGTATTGTACTGATTTGCTGGTTTATTGCCTGTCCCCATTCCACATACCCCACTTGTGGTAGAATATAAATTCCATGAAGGAAATAATTCCTATCTTCCATTTGCCACAATATTCTCAGTTTTTAGAATAGTGACTGGCACAGAATATGTGCTGAATAACAGTTGTAAAATAAACTGTACAAAGTTTCTGACCTCACTTGGGTTTACACAATAATGAACTTAAAAGTTCTATGGGGCTTGGTGCAGTGGCTCGCTCCTGTAATCCCAGCACTATGGGAGGCCAAAGGGGAAGGGAGGATCACTTAAGGCCAGGAATTTGAGACAAGCTTGGACAACCAGAGTGAGACCTTGTCTCTACCAAAACAAAACAAAAAGCCGAGTGCAGTGGCATGAGCCTTTGGTCCCAGTTATTCAGGAGACTGAAGCAGGAGGATAAGAGGATAGGAGGATAGGAGTCCAGGAGTTCAAGGTTACAATGAGCTACAACTGTACCACTGTACTCCAGCCTGGGCAATAGAGTGAGATCCTATCTCACAAACAAACAAACAAACAAAGTCCCAAAAGCACAGTATTTCTCACATTTTTCTAGTGTATTTCCCTTAACAGAAGAGGAAAGAATGGACACATCTGGGAAGGAGGCAGGGGGATGGGTCAAGAATAGTGGTATAATATGAAGTAGACTATCATAAGAACAAATCTCTTTGAAGTTCCATGCTAAATTCCATAATGTACCCATATATGTTTGAATATGTGTTTTTCCCTTTAACTTTGAGTAAAACTGATGCTCTAGGAAAATGTGCTATTGTGTATTCTTTAGCTTCCATAAAGAATACACATGGTATTTGGTGGGTCACAACCAACTGGTAGTCCTTAAAATTAACTAAGTGGGTTGAAACTGGCATTAAAAAAATAAAATGAAAAATATCACAGTCCATCTCATGAAGAGTAAGTAATGTTTCCTGAAACTGTTCAGTTTTATGTATTGTATGTGTGTATACACTATGTAAAACACATTTCTTACTGTAAGTGGCAGTCAAAAAAGTATAAAAGCCACAATACACACACACCAAAGTAAACAGTGAGAAAGGGTTCAGTGAGTGAAGGAACAGAATGCACACCTCAGCTTCTGCTTTGAGAATGCCCAAAGCAGACCACAGATGGTACCAAGATTACCTAATCCTCTGTTCCTTTGGTATGTCATGTGCAACATGTGACCATAACAATATTAACGTGCTTCTTACGGACATCAATAGGAAAGCAAACAGAAATTATAAGGCACTTTGAAAACATAAAAGTGGGCTATAAATGCTTCATAATAACAGTGATTGTTTAAAGTTACTTTAAGTGGCTGCTGAGGAAAGAGCAACCTGTCAGCTTCAGCCTGTAACCAGCTATTAGTTTCTTTCCATAGTATAGGAAGCCTGCTGCAGGAGCTACAATCTCTTTATGGTGGGACAGCTGGAGATGAATAGGCTAAATTAATATTCTAACCTTATACCAATATACTCAAAAGTACTATAAAAAGGTACAACATGAACTCAGTCTGAACTCTGGCAAATTAGGCCTCTTACCCCACCTCTCACCACAGGTAACCAAAGGAGGCACTGCCACGAGGAAAACCAAGTGAAGTAGCGCAGGGCTCGCCTTTGAGATTGTATCGTCTACTCTTCCATAACGTCACTTGTGACCTTTCCTCGTTTCTGAAGAACTTTTTTTTTTTTTTTTATTCCTCTTCTCCATTTAGCTTTTGGAAAGATTATTTGCAGGCTGGTCCAAGCTAGGACCAGGGAGTGACGTCAACCATCTCCACTTCTCTGAGCAATGATGATTCAGATGTGTTTTAAGTACCACACAACCTAGTCAACAGATCCTAGGGGAATGGCTCTGAGTGACAGGTTTTTAATGGTACTTACTCCAACAGTGTGATATATATCATCTGAGATTCAAGCAGAAGTGGCCCTTTCTGCTAGGTGCTAGAGTTAAACTGATGGGTAGTTCTGCATTTCTCATCAACACCAAAATACATCTACCATCTTAAGTTTATTTTATCTTTTTAAATTTCTTTTTTGATACAGGGTCTTGCTCTGTCACCCAGGCTGGACGGTGGAGGCATGATCACAGCTCACTGCAGCCTTGACCTGCTGGGCTCAAGTGATCCTCCCATCTCAGCCTCATGAGTAGCTGAAACTACACATGTGTGCCACCATGCTTGGCTAACTTTGTTGTTTTTGTAGACATTAGTCTATATACTAGACTAAACTAGACATACTAGTCTTACTATGTTGCCCAGGCTACTCTCAAACTCCTGGACCCAAGCAATCCTCCCACCCTGACCTCCCAAAGTGCTGGGATTACACAGGAATGAGCCACTGTGCTTGGTGATCCAAAGTTTAAATAGCATTTCAAACTCTATTGACCAATAAATTATCTGGGAATTCTCAGAGACCCTGACAAAACAGAAAGGTCTATCTATGATATTAGACAATATCTGATAGAGTTAAAAATATAGCAGAAAGAGTCATGAAATGTCGAATGACTTTCCTTCCAGTACTAATTCCATTTTAAACTGAACAGCATCTTTAGTTCACTTCCAAGGCTAAGATTCAAACAAGAACTCTCTTCCCATATTCTTTCTTAGTCCACCCAAAAGATCAGGTGGATTATATGATAGCTGAGGAGGCCTCAAATGGTACCAAACTGCTGTTCATCCTGAGTATAAAGCCATATTGATTTATTCTCAGGAGACATTAGGACGTTGTTCGTTAAGAGTATGTGGACAGTGGAATCCTTTACAGGGAAAATTTGACAGATTAGGCAATGGTTCCATGTCCCTAATATGCACTTCAGCGTCTGAAGTTTTCATATTTAAACAGTTCTCAGAACCAGAAATGAAAGCTTTGAACAGAGCCTCCAGATGATCTCTAAAATTGTAAATCCTCCAGTAGCACATATAATTATTGGACTTTAAAAAGGCAATGAGCTCCTAAAAGCCAATCTCTCTTAGTAAGCCTTGATTCCAAAGGAAGCCAACAGAAACCAAAAGACACTGAAACTGAAATACTATGACTTCTCCTGTAGTCCCCATTCTGCTATGAGATCTGCTTAATCTCAATCTCAAAAAACTCTCAAATAATTTAGACCACGAATTAGAAATGTCCGCAAATTGCTTTTCCCAGGCGGCTGCCGAAGATGGCGGAGGTGCAGGTTCTGGTGCTTGATGGTGGAGGCCATCTCCTGGGCCGCCTGGGGGCCATCGTGGCTAAACAGGTACTGCGGGGCTGGAAGGTGGTGGTCGTACGCTGCGAAGGCATCAACATTTCTGGCAATTTCTACAGAAACAAGTTGAAGTACCTGGCTTTCCTCTGCAAATGGATGAACACCAACCCTTCCCGAGGCCCCTACCACTTCCGGGCGCCCAGTAGCATCTTCTGGCAGACAGCGCCAGGCATGCTACCCCACAAGACCAAGCAAGGCCAGGCCGCCCTGGACCGCCTCAAGGTATCTGACTGCATCCCACCGCCCTACAACAAGAAAAAGCGGATGGTGGTTCCTGCTGCCCTCAAGGTCGTGCGTCTGTTTGCCTACAAGAAAGTTTGCCTATCTGGGGCGCTTGGCTCACGAGGTTGGCTGGAAGTACCAGGCAGTGACAGTCACCCTGGAGGAGAAGAGGAAGGAGAAAGCCAAGATCCCGTACCGGAAGAAGAAACAGCTCATGAGGCTACGGAAACAGGCCGAGAAGAACGTGGAGAAGAAAACTGACAAATACACAGAGGTCCTCAAGACCCATGGACTCCTGGTCTGAGCCCAATAAAGACTGTTTAAAAATCATCCTTGGCCTGGCCTGCCCTTCTTTGATTGCTGCCCTGGGATGTGGGGGACCCAGGAAAGAGAAAGCCAAGATCCACTACTGGAAGAAGAAACAGCTCATGAGGCTACGGAAACTGGCAGAGAAGAACGTGGAGAAGAAAATTGACAAATACACAGAGGTCCTCAAGACCCATGGACTCCTGGTCTGAGCCCAATAAAGACTGTTAAAAAAAAAAAAAAAAAAAAAGAAGAAAAGAAATGTCAGCAAATTAAATCTCCAGAACACTAAAGATTAGATAAAGATTGTAAAGTGGTATGAATAGACATTGCTTTAAAAGACTTTGGATTACACTGTCAAAATCACCATTGGAACAGGAGAAAATTAGAATGACGAACCTTTAGGACTGTCAAATGGGAGAAGTCCAAAGCACAGCAAGGTCAGAACTACTTAAATCAAATTTTGTTAACTATTTTGCAGCTGAAATAGATTCTCAAGTACTGCTTTAAAAGAGAATCCCCTGCCCCGCCCCTGCAAAGCCATTTGGAAAAAGGGTGAGTAGGTCACAATTTTCATGAAAGACTACCTTTGTGGAGGATAGAAAAAGTAGCCCACCCATAGCCATCACTGCAGCCATCTAAACTGTGGAGGCCAGACATGGCTCACACCTATCTGTGATCCCAGCAATTTGGGAGGCCGAGGTAGGAAGATTGCTTGAGCCCAGGAGTTTGAGACCAGCCTGGGCAACATGGTGAGATTTCAACTTTACAAAAATAAAAATAAAAAATTAGCCAGGCGTGGTGGTGGACACCTACAGTCCCAGCTACTGGTCAGGTTGAGGTGAGACAATAACTTGAGTCTGGGAGGTCGAGGCTGCAGTAAGCTGTGATCGCGCCACTGCACTCCTGCCTGGGAGACAATGTGAGAACGCTGTCCCCACCTTGCCCCCCCCCAAAAAAAAGAAAAGAAAAGAAAGGTAAAGAAAACTAGGGAAGGTCAGGCTAAATTCACACCCTCAAAGTTGCAACACAAACTCTATCTATGATATTAGACAATATCTGATAGAGT